GCGATTAAAATTATTTATATTAATGATGTCTCCGAAGTTCAAGGAACTATTCGCAGAAAAATAAGTTATTAGAAATCGTCCGCTGTTTGCTGAGCTGTTCCGCGACGAAAACAATGTTGAGCAATGGCGATGTCGAATGGTGACACTCGGTACGTAATCCTACAATTTTTTATTTATAGCGTAATTTATACGGATTATTCCCAAAAAATATATACGTATTTTGGAAATGTTGAGTCGGATTAGTCTAGAATCGATTAATTTTATGGAAGAAAATCTTTCAAACAGCTGTAGTCCGTAAACTTGATACGTGTCGGGTTGTGATTGGAAGGATTCGTAAGAAATCGGATTCCTAAAGAATGGAACGTACCTATATCTTATAGGGGGGTCGACTGTATCTGTCATGTTCCTTTCATTCAGCATCGCACTTATTCTTCTCTTACGTGTCTGATGTATTATTTTTATTATGATCTTTACATGTCCTCATGTACCTCCTACACCAACCACATTCTTAGTAATCATTACGTAATAAGGCTTGCCAAGCTAACGAAAGAGCTATTTCTTCTCGGGAGTTAATGCACGTAGATGTAGTGTGCACCTTATATATTTCCATTGCTTCTAGCCATTTGAGGTGTTCCATGCGTTCTGTTTTAACTACTAACAATGCCCCTGCGAAGTCCACACTGATGCCCGGTTCTGACGCATAAATTGCGAGTGGCGTGGTGGCTCTGTTGTATTGTATATCCGCTTTGTGTTCCTTAATCCTGGTCTCCATCGAGCGTTTCGTTGATCCTATGTAGATCAAATCTCTACCGAATCTCTCATCTCTCACCGGTATTCAGTATATGCCTGGCAATTTACTTGGGTCAGATGGGTCCTTTCCATTACGTAACATGTCATATATCGTTGGGGTTCTCCCAGGAAGTGCCTAAATTATTTGCGTTTGCGAAGACACACAAAGAAGGCCAACAATTTTGCCCAGTAGTTGATAAAGCTAACGCGCCTACCCGTAAATTGGAGAAAGCAATCCACAACATAATTGGGTTGCACTTAAATGGCTCTACGTTCTCCATCTCAGATGTGGAATTAATCAATCAATTAAAACTGATCACATCTGATTGCATCATGGTTTTGGATTTTAAATCTTTATATCCGTCCATTAAGATTCCACCATGTTTTTGCGCACTTAGAGACCTCCTGTTTGTGAGTGTGAATGACGCATCCCTACATCAAAACGTGCTAGAATTAGCTCACCTGGTTTATTACGGTTCAGTGTTCCAATTAAACAGACAAACATATATACAATTGAGGGGTGTCCCATTGGGCAGTCCTATGTCCAGAGACTTGTGCGAGTTGGTGGTGAGACAACTAGAAGCAAGGACCTTACCGGGATTCATGAATGAAATCATGCTTTACAGGCAATATGTAGATGATGTTATTATTAAATGGAAAACTACACCGAACTTAGCACAATTTGTGGAAGAGATGAATGATAATCCATATGGGCTGTCACTTGGAGTAGATCAACACAGCAACTCTAATGTTCATTTCTTGGACATTGATATTAACATTGGGACACCCAACATCCATACCAAAATATATCGTAAACAATCTGCAAACCCCACGTACATCCCGAGTGACTCGTGTGACCCATTTCATTATAAAGTAGCCGGTTTTAGATCGTTGTTCAGAAGAGCGTACACTCATTCATCCACTAGAGAGGTACTAGTTAAATCACATTGAGAGCATTACTAATATTCACGGCTACCACAATCTTATTCCGAAAATCTCAGACCGCCACAAAAGAATGCTAATGAACCTCAACACAAAGGCTAGGACACATAGAGGCAACCAGGATGTGGAAAGAATACCAATTACGTACAACCCGGCCTTAAGATCCATTTACACATCTATCGTCAAAAAACGTAGGATCAACATTGCATACAGGAGAACCCCAACGATATATGACATGTTACGTAATGGAAAGGACCCATCTGACCCAAGTAAATTGCCAGGCATATACTGAATACCGGTGAGAGATGAGAGATTCGGTAGAGATTTGATCTACATAGGATCAACGAAACGCTCGATGGAGACCAGGATTAAGGAACACAAAGCGGATATACAATACAACAGAGCCACCACGCCACTCGCAATTTATGCGTCAGAACCGGGCATCAGTGTGGACTTCGCAGGGGCATTGTTAGTAGTCAAAACAGAACGCATGGAACACCTCAAATGGCTAGAAGCAATGGAAATATATAAGGTGCACACTACATCTACGTGCATTAACTCCCGAGAAGAAATTGGACCAGTACCAAGTGAGAAGTAACTTTTATATTAAGATATAGCTCTTTCGTTAGCTTGGCAAGCCTTATTACGTAATGATTACTAAGAATGTGGTTGGTGTAGGAGGTACACGAGGACATGTAAAGATCATAATAAAAATAATACATCAGACACGTAAGAGAAGAATAAGTGCGATGCTGAATGAAAGGAACATGACAGATACAACGCATGTGCAATAGATGTCACGCAATTGAAACATTGTTCGAATTTCTCTTTTTAAAAAATTGCGTGACGGAGTTTGGGAATAAGGAATCCAACCATTTTACATGAAGAAGGACACGGAAGGTGTTCAGAAAACGTTTGTTTTTACAAAATTATTTTTGTATTTCTACACACTGGTTAGAGGCATGAGTAAGTACATTTTTATTTTTGTGAAATTCATAACTGTATGTAAGTTCTAATTGTTAATATAAATGTTTGTGATTTGTGAATTAAGTGCTTTTTGAACTTGACTCTCACTCCCCCCACACTATTGTTCAGCTTACATGTTCAGACGTGTTGTGCAGAATTGACACATAGCTACAATTTATTTTGTGTTATTTATTTCTGTGTTTGTTATATCTACGGAGACTTGAGAGATTCTGCTATGTCATCTAAACGAAGTAGAACTGATTCTTCTGCATGAAATAAGAAAACTTTATCTTTGGAATGTAAAGTTAACATTATTAAAGACTTTGATACAAAAATGAAAATTTGTGAATTGGCAAAGAAGTTTGATCTACCGGAATTGACAGTCAGAACAATTATAAAAGGTAAAGAAAAAATTCTCAAAGCTGTAAAAAATGCTCAATCTTTAAATTTAAGCATCATTAAAAATTATTTGTATGTATTTATATGCAAAATTATACCCCAACTTACGCGGTTATTGCTTGATCCCACCTATCGCATAAGTTCGGGGTATTACTGTATTATAAGAAATTTGGTAACAAGTTTGCCCCTTTTGGTAACAAGTCTGCCCCTGGTCGGAGTTGGAGTCGGTAGATTTTTACGCGATTCCACAGCCCTGCTTAAAACTATATAAAAGCATAGCCATCTACCCATAGGCTAAATTATATATTTTAATTAATTAGAAATTATTATATTAATTAAAGAGAAACAAATCAAAACTGGAAAAATTATATTAATAAATGTCAGGGTGTCCAACAGACTTGGAAACATGGAAAACCAAAGAGCAATTAGATTGTTGTACTTCTTCAATGACAAAAGACTAGATCTCTTATTTAAGCCATTAAGTTGTTTTGTCAACAGTAGTGCATTTTACTGTTTTAAGGTCAGCAATTGGTAGCAACTTGGTTTAAAAAATATTTTACCTAATTCATTCTTCCTTACATTGAATTCAACAATTTGTCCATTTAAAAGTTTTTCCCTTGTCATCTTAAAGTGTATTCTATCCAAATCAATGATGAGGAACTAAACTTTCTCACTAAACTTTATAAATAAAAAATCATTATAACCTAAAGAGTGCACTATATAACGCATTGCCTTTCTTGCAAGATGAAAAACTGGTATAAGCTGAGAAGGCACAAACAATTCACCAGCCTTTTAAATTGCATACAAAATTGCACTGTGAGCAGGGTCTCCTTCACATTGTCCGTGATTAGTGATTAAGAAACGAAGACTTACTTTAAGTGTTTCAACTGCAAAATAATGTGTATGAAAGCTCCTGCCACAATGGAATTTTGATACAATCTCTCTACACACCGGTGTTTAAATAAAATAAAATAAAAATAAAAAACTCTTCAAACCTTTAACCGGAGTGCTTCTATTTTTAGAATTGCGAACGTTTTCGTCGCCCCTCCTGGGCACTTCTTCAGGCTATAAGAATGGGCCTTTAATATTCAAATAAATATTCGATATGAATCTCTTCCGAATTCTATCATTTAAAATCGTTCCGAAGTTGTGTTGCGCATGCTCCATATTCATTCTTTTAAACGCTGTTATCTATCAAAATTTCTTCCGAATTCTATCTTTGTATTGCGCATGCTCCATAGTCATCTCTTTAAATGCTGTTATCTAACAAAATCTTCCATGCTATTGATAGGGCCATTTCCTCTTTATAATTAATACACGTGCCGTTTCTTCCCACCTTAAATATCTCCATGGCCTCTAGCCATTTTAGTTGTTGAGGGTTAGAGTTGGTTTTAATGATTTTTGCCGCACGCAGGTCCGCCGTTATTTCCTGTTCCGAAGCGTATGTTGCCAGGGCCATTGTGTATCTACCTTGCTGTATACCTGACTCATGTTCTTTTAACCTCACTTTTAATGAATGCTTCGTGGAACCAATATATGTCATTTGTCTATCATATCTTTTGTCTTCTAGCGGTACTGCGTATACTCCTGGGAGTCTTTCAGGATTAGGCCGGTCTTTGCCATTAGCTAGTATCCTGAAGACAATTTGACACCTTCTGTATGCTATATTTATGTCTCTTCTTTTGGCTATCATGTTGTAGACTGATTTCAGTATCGGATTATATGTTATAGGTATCCTCTCTTTTTCTTGATCAGGTATATTCAAGGATCAGGCAGGGCCACCGTTGAATATACACAACGGTGTATATTCAGATACAAAGATAGAATTCGGAAGAGATTTTGATAGATAACAGCGTTTAAAAGGATGAATATGGAGCATGCGCAACACAACTTCGGAACGATTTTAAATGATAGAATTTGGAAGAGATTCATATTGAATGTTTATTTGAATATTAAAGGCCCATTCATTATAGCCTGAAGAAGTGCCCAGGAGGGGCGACGAAAACGTTCGCAATTCTAAAAATAGAAGCACTCCGGAATTTTGATTTTGTCCACCACAACCATCAGCAAATAAATTGGTAGTGTGGACCTTCCTTAATATGGATATTAATTTTTCAATAAGGCAAAATATATTAAATGTGGTGGTCACATGAGTGGAAAAACATGGCAGCATAGTGTTTGGTTTTGAAACATTTTCTTCTGGTCAAGTTTTATGTCATGGAATCAGGGTATGCAGAAAGAGAATTCCACATAATATCCAGGTAATTTTGCGATAAAGAGGAATAAGTCTAGATATGCCTTTAAAATCATTTAAAGGCATTAACATTCAATTAAGTTATACAAACTTTTAATTATCCAAATTTATAATTAAAAAAATGCAAATAAACATTTTTTTTAATACTAATTTAAATTCCTATTTCAAGAATAATGATAGCAAATTCAAATTTAATAATTTGAATTAACCAGATTTGATGTTTCTGAAATGAAAGTTTATCTTGAAGTGAATAAATATTAAGTGTGAGATATGTTCAGGTTGTAATTATATTTAGAGTTAGGATGATAACATTTCTAAGTATAGATCAGGAGTTGCAAACCTATGGCATGCATCCCAAAGATGCATGTCAGAGAAATCATCATGCACATATTGTATATGATTTTGACTTATCACCTGTCTTTTTCAATCAGCTTCTTTACATTTATTTTAATTAAAACCTTTTTACTTCATTTCTTTGAATATTGTTATTCAAAGTCTAAAACTTTGGCACACATGAACATTCTTAAAGATATGTGCACTTACTGTATGGCATGTGGACTCAAGAAGGTTCACCATCCCTAGTATAGATCTATTATTTTATTGATTATTTTGTCTTCTCTTAATGGCACAATAGAATATTTTCTGTTTTTGGATATCCTTGCTTTTTCTTAGTTTTTACATTCATTTATTATTCTTAACTAATGCTTTAATCTCAATATTCATCAGAAGTAAAGCATTTTAGAATATATAATATAATTCTAACATTCATTTATTATTTAAATATAGATAACAAAGTGAAATTTTTAATTCAAGCTCTTAATATAAGTTACATTGAATGTCATTTGGCTCAAAAATAAATAAATAACAGAGCTGAAATAGAATAAAAATTTTAAATTCTATGAAAACTTAATAAAAAGATCAGTAATTTCAAATAAGCAAAATTTATTATCTGATAGAAATTAACATTTATTTTTGTATTTCAGTCCAAGTGAATGTCAGCTAAGATCTCTTCAAGAAGTGATGGTGTATCTACAGTCAGATGGAACTTGCAAATGTGGATTAGAGTGTCCAGTGATAATTGACAGGGTTTTTAATTTTAATCCATCTATATTTTCAAAACCATGGAATGTAGCAGATTTTTCTTGGAATGATGCAACTAAATTATGTAATCATAAAAGAAAAATTATTGCTATGGCTACTTTTCAGAACAGCACAAATCTTCAGTCAACAATGACTCCATCACAGGATACTCCACAGTCATCAGTTTCAAGATCTGAAGTAAATCATAAAAAAGGTATATATCATTTCAAAATATTTTACTTGTAATGTATTTTATATATATANTATAAGCAAATAAATAACTTTAAAATATTAATTGTTCATTCTTTAT